AAGAAGCAACAATAACATGGCTTCGATACGGACGCACTAGCGACATCTAATTAAACAATCGTAAAATAGTTTCGAAACACAATTCAGATTTCTGCTTTATAATCTGAGCCTTCTAAGAATTGCAAGGCAAACAGACGTTGATAAAAGATGTTAAAAGAGACATGGGGAATCTAAAATTTGCATTCCACGACATGTCTTTTACAACTAAGCAGAAATCCTTAGCGAATTGTGCTTCTTGTACTCCCACAGAGTAAATCCGAATAAAATGAGAAAAGGCAGCAAATATTTGATTTCACGCAAACAAATCCTATGTATCTCTTGATACGTATTTCGACCTAATAGGTCTCGTCAGAAGAGCTATTCATAGGGGTTCTCAACGTGAAAAATCAATATTTTCTGCCTTTTAAGAAGCAACAATAACATGGCTTCGATACGGACGCACTAGCGACATCTAATTTAACAATCGTAAAATAGTTTCGAAACACAATTCAGATTTCTGCTTTATAATCTGAGCCTTCTAAGAATTGCAAGGCAAACAGACGTTGATAAAAGATGTTAAAAGAGACATGGGGAATCTAAAATTTGCATTCCACGACATGTCTTTTACAACTAAGCAGAAATCCTTAGCGAATTGTGCTTCTAGTACTCCCACAGAGTAAATCCGAATAAAATGAGAAAAGGCAGCAAATATTTGATTTCACGCAAACAAATCCTATGTATCTCTTGATACGTATTTCGACCTAATAGGTCTCGTCAGAAGAGCTATTCATAGGGGTTCTCAACGTGAAAAATCAATATTTTCTGCCTTTTAAGAAGCAACAATAACATGGCTTCGATACGGACGCACTAGCGACATCTAATTAAACAATCGTAAAATAGTTTCGAAACACAATTCAGATTTCTGCTTTATAATCTGAGCCTTCTAAGAATTGCAAGGCAAACAGACGTTGATAAAAGATGTTAAAAGAGACATGGGGAATCTAAAATTTGCATTCCACGACATGTCTTTTACAACTAAGCAGAAATCCTTAGCGAATTGTGCTTCTTGTACTCCCACAGAGTAAATCCGAATAAAATGAGAAAAGGCAGCAAATATTTGATTTCACGCAAACAAATCCTATGTATCTCTTGATACGTATTTCGACCTAATAGGTCTCGTCAGAAGAGCTATTCATAGGGGTTCTCAACGTGAAAAATCAATATTTTCTGCCTTTTAAGAAGCAACAATAACATGGCTTCGATACGGACGCACTAGCGACATCTAATTTAACAATCGTAAAATAGTTTCGAAACACAATTCAGATTTCTGCTTTATAATCTGAGCCTTCTAAGAATTGCAAGGCAAACAGACGTTGATAAAAGATGTTAAAAGAGACATGGGGAATCTAAAATTTGCATTCCACGACATGTCTTTTACAACTAAGCAGAAATCCTTAGCGAATTGTGCTTCTTGTACTCCCACAGAGTAAATCCGAATAAAATGAGAAAAGGCAGCAAATATTTGATTTCACGCAAACAAATCCTATGTATCTCTTGATACGTATTTCGACCTAATAGGTCTCGTCAGAAGAGCTATTCATAGGGGTTCTCAACGTGAAAAATCAATATTTTCTGCCTTTTAAGAAGCAACAATAACATGGCTTCGATACGGACGCTCTAGCGACATCTAATTTAACAATTGTAAAATAGTTTCGAAACACAATTCAGATTTCTGCTTTATAATCTGAGCCTTCTAAGAATTGCAAGGCAAACAGACGTTGATAAAAGATGTTAAAAGAGACATGGGGAATCTAAAATTTGCATTCCACGACATGTCTTTTACAACTAAGCAGAAATCCTTAGCGAATTGTGCTTCTTGTACTCCCACAGAGTAAATCCGAATAAAATGAGAAAAGGCAGCAAATATTTGATTTCAAGCAAACAAATCCTATGTATCTCTTGATACGTATTTCGACCTAATAGGTATCGTCAGAAGAGCTATCCATAGGGGTTTTCAACGTGAAAAATCAATATTTTCTGCCTTTTAAGAAGCAACAATAACATGGCTTCGATACGGACGCACTAGCGACATCTAATTTAACAATCGTAAAATAGTTTCGAAACACAATTCAGATTTCTGCTTTATAATCTGAGCCTTCTAAGAATTGCAAGGCAAACAGACGTTGATAAAAGATGTTAAAAGAGACATGGGGAATCTAAAATTTGCATTCCACGACATGTCTTTTACAACTAAGCAGAAATCCTTAGCGAATTGTGCTTCTTATACTCCCACAGAGTAAATCCGAATAAAATGAGAAAAGGCAGCAAATATTTGATTTCACGCAAACAAATCCTATGTATCTCTTGATACGTATTTCGATCTAGTAGGTCTCGTCAGAAGAACTATTTATAGGTGTTCTCAACTTGAAAAATCAATATTATTAGCGGATGTTAAGAATAACTTTCTGCTTAGTTGTAAAAGACATGTCTTGGAATGCAAATTTTAGATTCCGCATGTCTCTTTTAACATCTTTTATCAACGTCTGTTCGCCTTGCAATTCTTAGAAGGCTCAGATTATAAAGCAGAAATCTGACTTGTGTTTCGAAACTATTTTACGATTGTTAAATTAGATGTCGCTAGTGCGTCCTTATCGAAGCCATGTTATTGTTGCTTCTTAAAAGGCAGAAAATATTGATTTTTCACGTTGAGAACCCCTATGAATAGCTCTTCTGACGAGACCTATTAGGTCGAAATACGTATCAAGATATACATAGGATTTGTTTGCATGAAATCAAATATTTGCTGCCTTTTCTCATTTTATTCGGATTTACTCTGTCGAAGTACAAGAAGCACAATTCGCTAAGGATTTCTGCTTAGTTGTAAAAGACATGTTGTGGAATGCAAATTTTAGATTCCCCATGTCTCTTTTAACATCTTTTATCAACGTCTGTTTGCCTTGCAATTCTTAGAAGGCTCAGATTATAAAGCAGAAATCTAAATTGTGTTTCGAAACTATTTTACGATTATTAATTTTATACCATAAAAGTTAATGCGTCCCCTGTCACACCAACAAAGGTAAGCAAGCGAATAAGACAACCTGAAAAATGGAAGAAAAACGTGTAAAGTGAGTACTTTTGTGAATGTTATGATTCCATATTTAACATAAACGTTAAATTACTTAAGTTAGTTTTTCCTGTAGTTGGCCATTCATTCTTACCATCTGATAGAGTTTTTGATCAAATTGAGAAGAATTTACGAAAAAGAGAAGTATTAACTACACCTGGCGAATACAAGGAAATTATATCCGATTTTTCTACGATCGTTGATATGAAGCAAAGTTGTGTTTACGATTGAAAGTCTGTTGTTTAGGAAGTTCTTAAACCAGTAAGAAAATGGGGTTTTCAGTTTAAGGAATGTAAACGGTACATTTTAAAACGATGTAGGACAGAAAATATTTTCATACAAGGTACACATCACTACAAAAATAATTTCGGAACTTTTGTCAGTATTACACGTAAAGGCAAACAGATTAGCATGATCAATCCAGAAAAACTTATCCCCGATGCTCACAAAGTAAATAACTTAAAACTGCGTGATGTGTGAAATCTTTTGACCAAACATTTTGGTTTACACTGGACATAACGTGATTAGCTTTACCATCATCAAAAGCTTTTTCAACGTTATGAACAAGAAGCAAACAAGAACCTGAAGAATCCTGTTCCAGAGTTAGAGTCAGTCGAAACCTGTGAATATATACCTGAACTTCCGGATATTTTAGCTTAAGTAGTTATATAGATACAAATTGCTTTTACGTATAATATTATTGTTCTATATTAAAATATATATTTATCTTAACTAAGTAACTGGCACAATGATGTTTTATTAGTTTCAAAACTGGCAATATCCATATAGATCATTTTCATATCCGTCAATCTCCAAACATTGCAAACAAAAACTGCAATCTCCAAACTAAAATATTAAAAAAAAAGGAAACGAAATAATTTCTTAAGCACTTCTTTCTGTACATCTGATCACAAACCAAATTTTATATATTCCATCATCAGTTTTATTGTTCTAATTTAATTTTGTTAGATTCTACAATTTTTCGCGGTTTCCCAAAATTTTGGAAATAGAAGATTGCCGACTTTGATTTTATACCCGTCATATATGATCAAGTAATATACTTATTTAATTTTATAAGACAAAATAAAAGGAAGAAGGGGCAGTTCGAAGAAGAACATCGTGGCTTGGAAACCTAAGGGAATGGTTTAAAAAAATCTTCTTCATCTCTTTCCCAAGCTGCCGTTAACAAAGTTAGTATAGCGAATCTGATAGTCAACGCACGATATACGAGCTTGGCATAGCAAAAAGATACAATTAGTTCAATACCCATCAAAAATCTTGTAGAAGAATTAATGAAATTTAAAGACAAATGGTCAAAGTTCTCACATAGTGGTAATAAAGATGTCGATGCTGGGGATGATACTTAATGACAGACCAATTTAATGGTAATTTATGAACTACTGCCATCAATATAGCTACTATTACTATTTGTTCTACGGATGAAGAAATTACTGCTGTTGATGATTTTAAAGCAAAATTTTGCAGAATTTTTTAAAACCTAAAATTTTCGAATTCAGTTGAGCTGTCAAGTTACCAATGAACTTTCCTTCAAGAAATAGAAAAATTAAAGTTTTACCGAAAATAATAATTTTTCCACAAATAATTTATTAAAGACAATATAAAATGAGTAGATTGTTATCAGTTTTTTTCGTAATTTTTATAAGAACACATCGAGAATTTATTTAGTGAAACCAAATTGTTGGATCATAGTGTGTATACAAACTTATCAAAAATGGTATTATTTTTGACATAATACGCTACCAGTAAACTTTATAGAATAATATGTACTACCCATATACATTAGTATATAGCGTGTATTACACATTCCTTGTATTGCTTTACAAATAATACTTAAAACGTTTTAAATATTTAATTTACTTATTTACATTTTTTATAGGAACAATTTCTGCCATATCCGATGGCATGCAATATGGCTGGACGTCCCCAACAATTCCAGTTCTTCTCTCTGAGGACACTCCTCTGAAGGTAACACCTGAGCAGGCTGAATGGCTAGAGTCTGTTCTTATGATCGGAGCGTGCTGTGGTCTGCCAGCTACAATGTACTTAGTAGATAAAGTAGGCAGAAAAAAATCTCTTATTACGTCAATTACTGTGACTGCATTGGCTTGGATTGTGATGGCAACAGCACCTAAAATTGAATATATTTATGCTGCCAGGTTTTGTGCTGGAATGGCTGGTGATATGGCATTCGTTGCAGCTCCCATGTATATTGCCGAAATTGCTGATCAAAAGATTAGAGGATTTTTGGCAAGTCTTATATATATCATGATGTTGACAGGTAGGAATAACGAAAAAGAGATAAATGTTTGCTTTTATTTTTCCTTTTCCTTTTTACTATATATATATATATATATATATATATATATATATATATACATATATATATATATATATATATATATATATATATATATATATATATATATATATATATATATATATCCTGCAGAACTACAAGAACTTATAAGCGACCTAAATGCAGCTAGCAATGAAGTTGGCCTAAAAATGAACTTGACAAAAACAAAAACCATGTACAACGAGCTAGTGGATGTCCAAGATGTAATAATAAATAATACTGCACTGGAGACAGTAGACGAGTATATATACCTGGGACAATTAATACATAAATCTGGCTCATTACTCCCAGAAATCAACAGAAGAATGAAACTGGCTTGGGCAGCTTTTGGTAAAAATTCAGTTATATTCAAATCTAGGATGCCACTCCACCTGAAGAAAAAGGCATTCGATCAATGTATACTACCAGTCATGACATACGGCTGCGAAACTTGGACACTAAAGAAAGATATAATAGCTAAACTCAAAGTCACTCAAAGGTCAATGGAGCGATGCATGTTAGGTATAACCAAGAGAGATCGAAAAAGAATAGAATGGATCAGACAGAAAACGAAGGTCACTGATGTAATCCACCGAATAAAATCTTTAAAATGGCAGTGTGCGGGACATTTAGCAAGAAGAACTGACAATAGATGGTCCACTAGAATTACTCTGTGGTATCCAAGAGGAGTCAAGAGACCAAGAAGACGTCCAAATTTAAGATGGGACTATGACATAAGAAAACAAGCCGGTACAACATGGCACAGAAAAGCGAATATTAGACAGTCGTGGGCAGACATGAAGAACGACTATGTAAGGGATGCTGCACCATAATTGGTAGAATACGCTGATAATGATGATGATGATGATATATATATATATATATATATATATAATATATATATATATATATATATATATATATATATATATATATATATATATATATATATATATAGTCGTCCAAACTTGATCGAGGACGGTTGTAGATAAAACAATTACTGTTATCAATTTTACCATTTAAAGCTAATTATACCTTAATGGACTTGAAATATTAAAAATAAATCTGGTGTAGTGATACAAAACAGATTTTATATATTTAAATCAACCTAATTAATTATTCCAAAACAAATTAAATAATAAAAATAAAGTAACTATATTAATATTAGTGCTGGCGATTGTGTCAAAAATGTGTTGCGAAGCTAATTTTTTGGAATCCACAAATCAAAGGTAACATCTTATACTAATATTAATAGTTAAACCACAATGTCGAACGGGTATAATCAATATCCATTTCCATACTCTCAATGTTCAACAACTAGCCAGATGAACCTCAGCGACCAAAACTTAACAGTTCAACAACTAGGATATTTTCCACAACAAATGCAAACGGGACCACATCCCGCATCACAAATCCAGCAAAATTTCGCTCCAAGCCAGCTAAACCAGCCAATGCAGTTATATCAACCTCAATACCAGTATTCAGTCCAAAGTACATTACCACAATATCAACCCCCAAGCACATTTATTGCCGGTGTTAAATACATCCAACCATTAAACGAACTATTAAACACTATAGCCAAAGACAAACATTTAATCAGAGTGTTGAATGAAGAACAAGTCAAGGTACAGGCCCAAACAATTGAAATATACGACAGTATAATAAAAGCACTTGATGAGAAAAAAACCGAATATCATACATATCGTAAGAAGCAAGATAAACCCTTTAGAGTAGTGATTCGTCATCTTCATCCCACAGTGGATATAAACGAAATCAAAAAAGAACTAGAGAGCCAAGGACATATCGTTCTACAAATAACGAATATACTTCAAAGAACTACAAAAAAAAACCCTACCGCTATTTTTTGTGGACTTGAAAATGCAAGAAAATAATAAAGAAATTTATCAGATAGAATATTTACTCAACGCAAAAATTGATGTCGAAGCCCCAAGACTAAAAAGAGAATTAGTACAATGTACCAGATGTCAAAGATATGGTCACACAAAAAATTTCTGCTATCATCAATACAGGTGTGTAAAATGTGCTCTAAATCACAAAACTGCTGACTGCCCTAAGAAAATTCGATCTGATCTTGTAAAGTGTGTACTTTGCGGTAAAAACCATCCAGCGAATTATAGAGGATGCAGTGTACATAAACAACTGCAAGAAGCAAGATTTCCAACCTTAAGAAAGAAAGAGTCACAGAATCAACTACAAAACCAACAGCTACCAGTGGCTACAATAAATATAAGTACAACACAAAGACCTACATATGCTCAAATGATAAATACCAACCAACAAGATACTACAATGGTCACTCGGGCAAATGACATGCAGGAGTTAAAGAATATGATGAAAGGGCTTATGGAACAAATGCACCATGCTAAACTTACTAACAACACTTGTCTCAAAAATGAACTAATGGCTAATACACTAAAATTTACCATATGGAATGCTAATGGCTTGACACAACACAAACACGAGTTGTATGCATTTATAGTTAATCATCAATTAGACATAATACTGATTTCAGAAACACACTTCACGAAAAAAAGTTTCATAAAATTTCACAACTACAAAGTATATCACACAACACATCCAGATGGAACTGCACATGGTGGGACAGCAATCATTATAAGAAACAACATCAAACATTACCAGACAACTCACTATCAAAAAGCACATATTTAGGCCACAAATGTAGTTGTAGAAGACTGGACAGGACCTATAACTTTTTCAGCTGTATATTGTCCACCAAAACATTCAATTAAACAACCAGAATTTAAAACCTTTTTTGATACACTTGGACCTAGGTTTATTTGTGGCGGAGACTACAATTCAAAGCATTTAATGTGGGGCTCTAGACTTATTAATACCAAAGGCCGGGAACTACAAAAAGAAATACACATGGATAATCTAAACATAGTAACCACAAGGGAACCAACATACTGGACTTTGAACAGATCTTCTCGACTTTGCTATAGTGAGAGGAATAAATGAAAAATACTTTAAACCAAAGTCCTGTTACGATTTATCCTCTGACCATTCACCTGTTATCATAACTGTAAGCAAAAACATAACAAAAATAGAAAGGAGCTGTATACTACACAACAACAAAACAAATTGGAGTTATTTTCGATATCAAGTAGACAATCAAATCAATTTAGACATCCCACTAAAGACAGATAAACAAATCGAACACGCAGTAGAACATTTTAACACAGTTTTACAGGAAGCAGCATGGAACTCCACACCATTACCTACACATCGACATATGAACAAAAACTGTTCCAATACAATACATGGAAAAATAATTGAGAAAAGAAGACTCAGAAAACAATGGCAATTAACAAGATCACCTCAAAGTAAAACAAACCTTAATAAAGCACAAAAAGACCTAAAAAAATTGATAATGGCAGAAAAAAATGCAAGTTTTCAAGAATACCTACAAAAACTAGATGCAACTCAAGCCACTGACTACTCGTTATGGAAGGCTACAAGGACTCTACGAAGGCAGAACTATACAGTCCCACCAGTAAGAACACAAACAGGACAATGGGCGAGGAGTCCACTAGAAAAAGCCGAAACATTTACTGTCACGAAACATACTTAAAAAGTCTTTACACCAAATGAGGGAAATTACTCACTACAAACTGAAGAAGAAATTATTTCGATACTCACAAAACCTTATCAACTAGAACCTCTCGAAAAAAGATTCACAAAAAATGAGGTAAAAAATATTATACAACACAACATCGATCCAAAAAAGGCTCCAGGATACGACCTGATTACGGGAGAAACTCTTCAGCAACTCCCAGAGAAAGGCTTCCAATTTCTGACACAGTTATTCAACTCTATAATGAGATTAGGCCACTTCCCATCACAATGGAAACTAGCACAAATAACAATGATACTAAAACCAGGAAAAGAACCAGAAAGTGTACAGTCCTACCGTCCTATTAGTCTTCTTCCAGTGGTATCCAAAGTTTTTGAAAAGCTGACACTTACTAAGCTAATGCCTATACTAGAAAACAAAAAACTAATACCACCACACCAATTTGGGTTTATAAAACAGCATTCAACGATACAACAGGTACACAGAATTGTAGAGAAAATCAACGAGGACTTTGAAAATAATAGGTACTGCTCGGCGGTATTTCTGGACGTAAGTCAGGCATTTGATAAAGTCTGGCATAAAGGCTTATTATGTAAACTAAAACAAAATTTACCTACAAATTACTATATACTCTTAAAGTCCTATATCACCAACAGAAACTTCCAGGTAAAGTATGAGAATGAATACACAAACATACAACAAATTCTCGCTGGGGTGCCCCAAGGAAGTGTACTAGGACCTATATTATACCTTATATTTACTGCTGACCTACCGACAGAAACACACATAACTACAGCTACATTTGCGGATGATACGGCAATAATATCGTCGAACAAAAATCCCAAAATAGCCTCAGAAATCTTACAAAATAATCTAAATCAAATCCAACAATGGATGACAAAATGGAGAGTCAAAATTAATGAAAACAAATCGCTACACCTAACATTTACCACGCGTAGGGAAACATGTCCGGCTGTTTACTTAAACGGTACAGGAATTCCACAAGGGGATGAAGTCAAATATCTAGGTATGTACTTGGACAGAAGATTAAACTGGAGGAAGCATATATTTACTAAGCGAAAACAACTGGGTCATAAGTTAAGAACCATATATTGGCTGTTGGGCAAAAAATCAAAACTATCAACCGAAAATAAAATATTAATCTACAAATCCATCCTAAAACCAGTGTGGACTTATGGGATAGAATTATGGGGAACCGCCGCACATTCCAACATTGAAATAATACAAAGATTCCAGTCCAAAACATTGAGATCAATACTAGGAGTTCCATGGTTCATAACCAATGAAGCCATTCATCGGGATGCCG